GGGGGGGAAAAAAAGGGGAGGGGAGAATGCACCCTCTGCCTGTGCGTACCTGACCACGATTTCCGTCAAAGGACAGGTCAACAAAAGCGCATGGTAGGCGGAGAGAGATCCGAGGTGTACCTGACTCTTCTCAATGAATCTGCACACGAACTATAGGCAAGGGGGGAAGAACTGATTGGGGGGTGGAGGGGGGAGGGGGGAGAGGGGGGAGGAGCGGTGGGGATGGTAATCCAGGCCTGTTTTCTCTCCTTTCTATCCAGTGTGCCCTGCACCCGTTTTCAAATCCCTGTCTACTTCCCTTTTTCACTGAGGGCATACTCACACCAGCACTTTTTTCCTCATTACCGGACGGAATTGCGGCCAAATGCATACGACTCCGGCGGCAAATGCGGTCAGGTGCATTACGATTGTGGTAGAACGAGTACGCCCTAAGTCCTCGCTCCTTCCAGCTGAGCTGCTTTTTCTAACTGTTTTAACTCTCCTTGACACCAGGAGAGTTCACCGCGTCCAGACGTTTTCTTTGACGTTGTTTTGCCTCCCAACCGATTTTTTTTTATTTTTTTTTTAAATGAAACAACCCGAGCTGCTTCTAGGAGTGCTGATAAGAGCAGACACCGCTAGCACCCTCGGGAAGGATTCATCTATTCCAACCCACCCCAGCCCCAAGAACATACGTAAAGAAGCTAGACTCGGGACATCATTTGACTAAGTTCCCTAAGGCTTCTCCTCTTTTACCCAAAACCTACCTCTGGCCTCCTATGTGCTCCGTCCTGCTAAGCTGCTTTCCTTGCAACCTATCATTCTCCTTTGCCGAGGTTCCGTCTATTCCGCCCCCTCCTAACATCCTCCTTTATCACCAACTATATATTAATTACGCACTACTACCAAGTTGTTCCGTTCCTTCCCTATCCTAACTGCGTACTCACACTAGCCCGATCTTAAATGTATCTGACCGCATTTACGGCAGCGCCGGAAAGAACCTGACCGCAATTTGCGTCCATTACTAACACAAAAAACAACTCTTAATGTGTGAGTATATACTATATACTATATACTACATACCCTACGCCTTCCACAGATTGATCCTTCATGCTTTTCTAACGTTTCCTCGTCAGTAGACTCACTACTTCTCTAAGTTCTAATCAATTCAACCAATCGGTTCACTTTTCCAACGTGCCTTTTTTTTTTTATCCTACCTGTGGTTGAGGGAGCCTCGCTGCCGCAGTGCCGCTTGACAATGCAGCCTCCCGTTGGCTGTCGTCGCTGTCGAATGGAAAGACACAGGCTTTGCTGAACCTACCGAACTTGCAACCAACGCCTTAGAC